CCCCCCCCCCCCCCGCCCCCCCCGGCGTGCCCGACACTCGATCCACGCGCTCCCAGGTCACCAGCGGCGTGGATGTCCTCGTCACCGAGGCCGGCAGCACCATGCTCTACATGGCCGGTGCCAAGTGGAAGCGCAGCGAGCGCCCCTTCCTGGCGGTTCTGTCGCGCCTGGGCCGGCCAGCCGACGACCCGGGGTTCGAGTATTTCTTTGTTTCGCCGGCCTTCGAGCATGACAAGGCATCCGAAGTGGTCAAGGGCGCGGCGTTGGTTTACTACCAGGAGGACGAGTCGCCCTATCTGGCCCTGGCCCGGCACTTGGGCCTGGACCCGGATGCCGCCGACCCGCCGACCGCCGCCGCTCGGATCCAAGTCGACCGTGACACGCGGGGGTTCGTCTATTTCGGCATCGCCGGGGCCCTTGCCCCGGGCCATGAGCTGGTTTCGGACACCGGGCTGGTTCGCGCCGTGCGTGGCGTCAAGTCCAAGGCCGAGGTGGACATCATGCGCTGCGCCAATCTGGCCACCAAGGCCGCCATTCGCGCCGTACTGGAGGACGTCACGGCCGGGACCACGCAGGCCGAGGTGTCGGCCGAGATCGCCGGCGCCCTGTCGGCTGCCGGCCTGACCAACACCTGGTCGATTGCCCTTTATGGCCCGAATGCCGCGGCCCCGCATGGCATCACCGGCAATGCCGGGCTCAAGCTCACTCGCGGCATGATGATCCTGCTGGACGCCGGTGGCGATCTTCTTGGCTACCAGTCGGACATCACTCGCACGGTTCGCTGGCCGCTCGGGACCCTGACCAGCGATGATGGCCCGGAGCATTACGACCGGTCGACGCTCATCTGGAACACCGTGCGCCAGGCGCACGAGGCCGCCGTCCGGGCCATCCGCCCGGGCGTTCGGGCCACCGACATTGACGCGGCCGCGCGTGATGTGGTCGAGGCCGCTGGCTTCGGCTCCGACTATGAGACCTTCACCCACCGCCTGGGCCATGGAATTGGCATCGACGGCCATGAGGATCCGTACATGAATCGCGGCAATGAGGAGGAGATCCGCGTGGGGCACTGTTTCTCCGTCGAGCCAGGTCTTTACCTTCGTGATGAGGTTCGTACCTGGTCCATGTCTTGCGTCTTTCTCTCTCTCTCTCTCTCTCTCTCTATCTGTTTCTCTATCTGTTTCTCTCCCCTCACTCATGCGCATCTAACGCATTATGCCTTTTGCTCGCTCCTCTCTCTCTCTCTCTCTCTCTCTCTCTCCCCGCTTTTTCCTGGTGCAGACCGGCGTCCGCATTGAGGACATTGTCTGTGTCGTCAGTGAGACCGCTCCTTACATCGAGCTCTTCGGTGCCACCTCCGACGACGTGCTCAACCCTTTGGCCCTTCACTAGAAGAACAGAGGACGCCGCGAGAGCCAGCAGGCCCGCCAAAGGCATCCCCCTGACGCCATATCGCCCGGCAGCTGGGCCGAGGACGCTACGCACTTGAATACACCACCACAGCCGGGTGCCTATTTTCCCCAAAATACATGAAAGGCCGCCCGACGGGACGCACCACGGGGGGGGGGGGGGGGGGCCCGGAAGAGGCCGTCTTCCCTATGTCTCCACCCTGGACGCGCTTGGGGGCAATCTGTCCACGTTTCCTCCGGGGGCATGCACACTCTCTCTCTCTCTCTCTCTCTCTCTCTCTCTCTCTCTCTCTGGGGGGCGTGTGCCTGCGCTCTGCCGCCTGGCGGTGCCCCGCCCCCCCGGTCGGTAGAAACACCCCAAGCTAGGAGATCGGACATTCTGAAGGGCATAGCTCAGAACATCAGGAGAAATGCCACACAGATCACATGGTCCCCGGGGCGGGGCGAATCGGCCTCTGCGAACAGCGGCACCCGCCGACTTCGGGGCGGCCGGTCTGCCAGCAGTTGCCATAACCAGCGGGCAGCGGGAGGGGCGCTTGTTTTTTCCCTCCCCAGGTCCGCCTGCGGGGGGCTTCGGGCACCCAGGGTGGGCACCTGGCCGGCCGGGGGTGTCGGAGTGCCACCTCACTGGGGGAGGGGCGGGGGGGGTCTGGGTGCGCTCCCCCCCCCCCCCCCAGGCCGGCCCCATTTTCCCTTCCTCTCGGACTCCCAGGTTCGCGGGACAAGGGGCGAAGGGGTCGGTGGGTTCGGGGCCGGGGCCGGGGTCGGGGCCGGGGCGTTCACTCTGCCACACATCCCGGTGGGGGGCCCTTTGCTTGGGGGGGGGGGGGGCATTCTGGTGCTTGCTCTCTGGCCTGTTCATCTCCCCTTCCCCGGTCTCCGGCCTTGCATCGCCCCGGTTGCGCCGAGTGTGTCCTGGACGGGGGGCAAGGCGCCCCCGAGGGGCAGCCGGCTGGGGGCCAATCAAACTTGCAGATCGGCAGGGCTGCGGTGCACGGGCCCGGAGACCCGCCTGAGACCCAGGCTGTTGCGGAATGAGGCCCGGGCGGGGGCGATGCGAAAATACGGCCTTCGCGAGGTCCTCCCGTTCGGCCTCCGTCGGCGGGAATGCCCCCCCCCCCCCCCCCCCGGACAGGATGGTCGGCGGGTCGGATAGTGCTTTCGCTCCGGTTCCGGCTCCGACTCCGGCGCCCCGGCCTTTGGCCCCTGTGCTCGCGCACGCCCATTTGCCCTTTTTCCCCGCCCCCCCCCCCCTCCCCCCGCAAAGTCCTTCGTGCGCAGGGATGGGGCGAAAAACAAAAAAACACCACGACCCCGCACATCGGGCAGAGTATTTGGACCTGGGGGAGCATGCACGAGATGAGCGGGATGAGCGTGTGCACGGGCCAGGCCGCGGGAAGGGGGACAAAGAGAGACATGTGTTTTCCCGACTGCGCTGCCTCCCGGGGCGCTGGCCTCCTTGGGGAGGATTGTTGTTGTTTTTTTCCTCGCCCCCTGCCCTGTCCTTCCACGGCTCAGCCGCAACGGCCAGGAGTGTCCCGACAAATCCAGATACACAAATAGACGCCCAGTCAACCGGCCAGCCGGCCGGACAAGTACGCTCACATGCTCACGCTCGCCAGGGATTAAGAGCTTCGGTATTTGCCTCGGGGGGGGGCGGGGCAAGTGGGCAGGGGCCGAGGACTCGCGAGAAAAAAAGGGGCAGGAATGTCCCCTTTTCTCCCTGGTGTGCCTGTGCTGCGTACGAGGGCGCGTCCCCCCCCCCCCCCCACACCCCATGCCTGGCGATGCCCACTGGAAGGCTCGCCGGCCCTGGTCCCCGTGCTTGGGAGGAGTCCTATTGAGAGCGCACCGGTCTGGTCTTCACCCCGCGGGTGGCCTCCCTACCTCATCGTCCCCCTCCTCCCCTGCAGCTCTCGCCCCTCCTCGCCTCCGCTCTCCCTCCCCCCTCTTCCAACCCGGGCCTCCCCCCCCCCCTCCGGCGCCCAGGCTCCCGC